GAAAGAGCCACAGAGTTTGGTTGGTGCCACTGGGCAGTTTGAGGGAGTGGATTGCTCCCAGATTGCTGTCTGTAGGCTGCTGCCTGTCTCTGGCCTCATCTGACCCAGATTCAGCAGCTGAGCTCCTTTCAAACAGGAGTCTGGGAAACCTGCACGAGCACACCTTGGCTCTCTTGAAGACCTTTGCAAGCAAGTGCCTATTTAGATAGTGCCAGAAGCCTCGGTGTGACACATCTATTGCTGGGGAAGCTCCTCAGAGACAGCAGCTTCCTGCATACAGACTGGGCTGACTAACCCAGCAAATAACTGAAGGCCTAGAGAGACCAGTGCAGCAAGTTATTTTCTTCACCAAATTCTATCACATTCTCAGTTTAGGAGAGGTATAATATCAGAACCAACTAAATACCCAAAAGTTAACCTGGCAATATCATGAAAATAATAATTCATGGCTTTCTGTGGGGTCTTGCCTAGTCTGCCAGAACAGGAAGAGTAATGCTTGAACCTTTACCAGTGCTACACCAACGAGACCAAATGAGAAAGAGATGTATGTGACCTCATGGCTTATTTCAATTTAATTTCAGTGCAGTAAGAATGCAGTGAAACCTGCATAGGAAATCCCAAGAGAATGTGGTTATAAATGATGATGCAATAGGCTGGAACTGTATTATCCTGTAATGCCACTATTACATCCACATTAATCCAGTTTCCATTTACAAATTTTCAGGAAAAGGATAGCCAGAGAATCATAGAATCAGCTGGGTTGGAAAAGACCTCCAAGATAATCCAGTTCAACCCTGCCATGGTTACTAGACCATGGCACTAAGTGCCACATCCAGTCTCAGCTTGAAAACCTCCAGGGATGGGGAATCCACCACCTCCCTGGGCAGCACATTCCAATGTCTGAGCACTCTCTCTGTAAAAAATCTCTTCCTAATCTCCAACCTAACCCTCCCCTGGCAGAGCTTGAGTCTGTGCTCTCTTGTCCTGCTGCTGGTTGCCTGGGAGAAGAGACCAACCCCCACCTGACTGTGCAAGACCAGCACTTGGCCTTGTTAAGCCTCAACTTGGGCTTCTTTAGCTAAGAAGTGCATCATGCAGTAAGTACAGTGTAAGGTATCGTTCCCATTAACATGTTTTTGAACAAGTAACAAAGTTGGTATTGAATGTAAAAGCTCATTAGTGGGCTAAATACCTACCTTAATTAGTGGAGTTCTGCCAAAGAAGAATCCAAAAATGTAAGCAGCAATATCATTGCAGATAACACTTGAAATTGGAACCAGAAACCTATGGAAAGACATGGAAAGTTTCATGGAGAAGAAGAAAAGCTGCCTGAACCCAAACACAGGACAGAAATTAAATCAGCAGCATTTCTTTCTGGGAAATCTTTCTGTAGTATTTAGAAGGAATTATGGGTCTGAATGTGTTCACCTCTGTCCCCCATGAGCAGCATATTCAGCTATACTGATTTTAGTCTTCAGCCAAACAAGACCATTACAGACACACGTCAGTCCAAGTTAAAACACTATTTGAAACATGAGCAGGCTGATTTTTTCCTATTGGGCTTGAACACTGGGACCACAGTTAAGAAGAAATCAACAGCTATAAACATGTTAACATTTTTGGTAACATCAAAAGAAGCAAATTCTTTGACAAGTTTAAATGAGAGCTAAGTTTAAAAAAAATAGTTTTCCTTTTTTTTTCTCCTCTTGTCAGTTTGGAGCAGCCTGTGTTAGCTTTAAGTGTCCTCTGCCTGCAGACTGCAGCTGAATTTGTTATTCAAGCCTGTTAAGCTCTTTTTCCCCTCCCCCTTTTCAAAGCAGAGATATATTAATGAGCTCAAAGTCAGATTTTGTGACCATCTGCCAAAGTGCCTATCACCAGTGGCAATAAGCAATAGTGTGCTAGCAAGACAACTAGATGCAGCTTTTGGCACATGAACATGACCACTCTGAAAAGCATTTGTTTGTACAAACTTTGTCAAAGGCTTTGGGTTTTCTTTTTACCTCTAAGTATGACTTGTCTGCAATAATCTCCTCATCAGGAGAAGAAAAAGGAGAACACACAGGATTATGTCCTTGAAAAAACACAAACCGTCTTCCATGTGCTTTTTCCTTCTTCTTCAACTTGAAATTTACCCTGTCCCTCAAGAAGAGGAGGTCAGGCAAACACACCCACTCTTTGAGGAGTGGTTTGAAGTAAGCAAGTTGACCTGCATTGCCAGAACTCCATGTATCACAAAATGGTACACTAAGATGACCCAACACTAACTAAGATTAAAACTCTTAAAATACTTTGAGTAATCTGAATTGATTTGAACAGGGAAGGTGGCCAGGTTGGGGGTTTCATAGGAAGTGATCTGAGCAAAGTGAAGCTCCTAAGTAATTGATAAAGAATTGCTGGAGATTCATCCATTCAGCAAAATGCTGTGGAAACTATTTCACCAAGCATGCAATCAATTCTGTTCCTTGCAAGGAAATGAAGTGCTTGTTCAAAATCATCATACTTGTATCTGTCAGTCTAGTTAAAGGTTTCTGCTTCATCTCATCCCTCCCAGTTCCTCAGACTCCCCTTCTAGACTAATGCTCCTTTACCTGTTCCCACAGTTATTCCCTACTAGCTCCACGTAAAAGAACCAACCTTTCAATGCAATACAGTTACAAATCAGTTTATTGCTGTCCCCTTACCAGATCATGCCTTCAAAGAGATTTTGGATGACAAGATGAGATTGAGTTACAGTGATCAGCAAAGTGACATGAGTCCATGCGAACTGTTAACAATGCAACAACACAACAGTTAGTGAAAACACCGACCCAAACACCTTGGTAAATCCTGGGGTGTCAGCTAGAGGAGCTACTTAGGAGCTCAGAGGGAAGAGCAGCTGTAGGGGAATGCAGGAGATGTGTGCATACAGTATATCACAAGTCAGCTGCCTTTCTGAAGCAAGACTGAAACTTTGAGGTTTCCCCATCACTTACCTCCACCCAGAATGTTTTAACATGGGGTTTAACATCTGATTTAGTGAGACACAGACCTTCAGCATGAAAGCAGCAAAGGAATGTAAGCGATGTGATATTCTGTATATACATATAACAGAGGTGTTAGAGCTGTAACAGTAAAATGGCAATGAATGACTCATGGAAGAGTCATGTTACACAGGTGTGGGATCCCTCGTAACAGAAAACTGATGGAACATGAAGGTTCTCAGGATTAGCAAAAAGAATGTTAGTTTTTAAGTGCATGGTCATTTCAACAGTCATTCTCCTGTATGTACTTGGTGTTCAATCTGTAGCACCAGTGTACAATCAAGTAGTTTCGAAACAGTTTTCCAGCAAAGATCCTACAGTAGATTTTTCTTTTGCAAACACTTTCAAATCAAGAACTGCTAGTTTTCCCATGATACACCAAATTTAAGCACTCTAAATGTCTGGACCATTTAATGCCCTGCTTAAGTCTCTTCTCACAGGTATTTCCCTGTGGCAGACAGACTCCAGATCAGACAGCTCAAGGAGGCTGAAAGAGGCTGCAAGAAATGACTAAAGGTTTCTGAAATCATTACCTGTGGTTAATTATAGCAGCTCTGCAGCAAAAATTCTTAGTAGCATTTGTTCAGTGATATGGGAACATCACCTAAACCCAATGGCTACCCTGTTAGAACCACAGGATGGTTTGGGTTGGAAGGGACCTTAAAGATCAGCTAATCCCCACCTCCCACCAGGGGCAGGGACACCTTGCACTAGCCCAGGCTGCTCAGGGCCCTGAACACTCCACTCCCAGGGCTGGGACAGATTCTCCTTGTCTATCCAAACTCTGTGCTGCCATACAGTGGGTACATGGCTTCCCTCTGTCTTGCTGCAATTCTTAGGTAACCAAACTTGAATGTTTTCTGGGCAGACATCAAGTCTCATGACTGACATCACTTTTTTTTTTCACCTTCTTTCCAGAAGAGTGAAAAAAATACAATGGAAAATGAATAGGTTTACTTTGTGCCAATCTGAAGATGAGGAGGGGTTTTTTGCAGGTTAGAAGATCAAGACTACCTGTCCTAGAAAAGCTGCATCTCCCTGTCAGCTAAGCTCTCCCTCAAACAGGGTACATTATTTTTTTGAGAAAAAGACTTTTTTTACATGTTCATACAGAGCACAGTTAAGTCCTAGCCTAGAATTAGGGATCCTCAATGGTAAAGTGCTACCTAAAGCAGTGTAGAAACAGAAGGGTTAACTGCACCCCCAGAGTTTTAGGAAATCTTTCAGGTTGTGCAATGCCCTGATTGCTCAAGTGCTTTAAGGACAAGAGCTGTGATGTATTACTGTTTCCCTGTGGCTTCTAATCATTCCAGTGTAGACGTGGGAATGAGGGTGGTGTCAGTGGAGTGTTTGGGGTTTGTTTTGGGGGTTCTGTTTGATTGTTTTTACCCTGGAATGTTCCAGAATTCATTTTCAACCTATAACATATATCTAATAAAAAGGTTCATGGTCTTGATTAGCTGCTATGCTGTTTATTAGGTGGATAAATGTGAGAGATGTGAGACAAATGTTTCTTTTACTAGATCGATGATTTACTGAGACACGGCAGAGCAGAAGACCAGAACAACTGAAGTGTCACAGAATAAATCTTCCACATAGGGGTTAAGATCAAATTTCCTTTGTAGTACTTGAGTGGGGCCTCAACAAAGGAACACTTGATTCACAAGAACCACTTCCCACACTTGGCTCAGCTGTTTGGCTTCAGAGCTGGGAGGGAGATGCACGTCCCTTTCTCCAGGAATCTCTTTCATATCAGCCTGTCACTAAGGGAAACATCTCATGCTGTACATGCACAAGCCTCACTAAGGACATCCTGCACTGATTGAAAGGCCACAGCCCATGATGTGATGATACCAATCTGCAAGGTGAACGGATCCTGAGCAGTCCAACACCACTTGATTTCACGTTACTGCCAGCTTAAGCACTTTTCCCACACCCATTTTCCAAGCTCTTTTATGAACACAGGGACATGACTGTTTCTAGTGACATTCACAACGTGAGTGACCACAGCAAAGTGGGTAATACACACCATGTAAAACTGCAGACGATAATGTTTCTTCACTAAACTCAAAACAAACATGCAGAATCCTGCAAAACAAAGCAAGTGTAGTTTGTACCATCTGACAGTCAATGACACTGAACTGTGACATACCAGTAATTCTCCTCCTATGAAGCAGTTTCTAGTCCCCCTGCTGCCGGGACCATTTGCTTAGATGAGTTAAGTGCACATATAGAATACTTCTCATGTAAGACCAGGATTTAGTTACGACAGATTTAGCAAACATGAGTGAAGAGAAGCCACCTCAGGACACACAAGGTCCCATCATGAGTAACAGTTTTTAGGGGAGGAGATCATCACTGTTAAAAACTACTCAAAAAACAGGTTGACAAACTGGTTTTGAATAATTAACAGGAAAAAAAAAACCCAAAAAACCAGCTTGCCTCTCTCCCCCAGACAGGCATAAGGACACATGCAACACAAGTGTGAGGTGCAGGTGTTTGAGAATTCAAGTTCTGGCTGGCTAAGAGAGCATCTTTTCTCTCCTAGGGTAATTTCCTGGGCCAGCAGGGCTCAGAGGCCCTCAAAGGACCCTGAACCCTGGGGACAGCCACCAGTGACCCACCAATCCCAATGCACCAAGGGGCTGTGCTAGCTCTGCCTCCTCCTTTTGCTCATGACTGGCTTGTCTCATCTCCCCCTGGTTTCCTCAAGCCAAAGCCAGCTGAGAAAGGTCAAGTCCTGCAAAGTTAGTTTCAGGCTTGTGATCTAAACACTGACTAGAATTTTACTCTGCTTTAGAAGACAGAGAACAGTAAACAGTTCATCATCAAGATTAGTTTTCTCAGTACACTTTATGAGTATTTGTCTCCTGTCCCTTAATCTGAATCTTCATTTGATTTAAGTTTAGGCCAAAGTAATAGCAACTGCATTGCTGAAAACACTGTATTACAGTCTCACAAAGCAATATCCCACAAGACACAGCTTGTGTCTCTTCTGCCTGGAGAAGAGGCTTTCTTTTGACAGGGAGGAAATCTAACCATGAGCCAAATATCTGAATACCTTGCAGAACAAAAACAACACTCAGGCATTTTGACTAAGCAGTTCAAATATACTAGTAAATCCTGTCACTGTAGGCCTAGCAGAACATTGCACAATAAAGGATCAGCCCAGCACAGCAGTTACACACACAAAAGTCATCTCCACTGACTGCAGAAAGTGTTTGTGTGCTCAGGGACTGAGTCCCAGTTTGCCAACTTCTCTTGAGGGCTCTTAGCTCAACTTTCTCAACACCATCTACTTCTTTAGGCTGCTCTTTTCTTCCTGGTGAATGCAAAATGTGTATTCATCTTCCCACAGGAAAAAATGGAGCTGCAAACACCTAATTTCCTTGAGCATGAAGAGGAAAAACAAACTGAAATTGCATAAACCTAAGAGCAATTATATATGGGGTTTTTTAATTAAGTAGAGAAATAAATGCAGCACAAAGTTCCTTCACCTTCGTGTTTTCCTACACTTACCTGTTAAATAGAGTGCAAAAGATATAAACCTGTGGTAACGGATGAGAAATTGGAGTTGTTCTCTTCTCTGCACAAACGTAGCAAAATAATCAGCTACAGTCTCTCCATAAAAGAAGTAGTTCACACACAGCAAAAAGTACCTGCAATGTGCAACAGCTCACAGTTATTTTAGCAAGATAATAGATACTTATGTGCAATTCTTAAAGCAAAAAAAAAAAAAACAAAAAAACAAAAAACCCAAGCAAAAAAGACTATACAAATTCAGTCTTATGTGTTGGTGTCTCCTCTTCCAAGCTAAGATTTGTAATTTATTTCTTCTAAAGCAACCCCACGAGAAAAACAAACACAGTTTGCAGACTGCAGTTGGAAAATTCTTTTCATCCTTAACATTGAATACTCCATACCTATTCAAGTCCTTTCCAAATATTCTAAGAGCAGAACAAGTATCTGCCATGGTCAGTAATGGCACAAGTAGATCTGTATGTTCTTTTCCTCTACCCTAATAAGGGCAGTGTGTGATTTCTGCCTTGGAAACACAGTAAAAAATACTTGCAGAGTGAATCTTTGAGGTTACGTGACAGGGAATCTGACATGAGGCTTGAGGATCTGAATGCAACTATACTTTGGATTACTGCACACAGTTCTGGGGCCCTCAACGTGAGAAGGACATGAAAGGATGATCTCTAAGGTCCACTCCAACCCCTAAAATTCTATGATCTACAAGTGTGCATAGCCAAAGAAACACCTGATGTGTATTACCTGAACTGCTTTGAATACCATTTCTTTTTTGGCTGTGAACCTTGCACAAGAAATAAACATTGCAGGTACCTTAAAGGTTCCTCTTCACACACACAGAGAATTTGAATAATTGCACACAAGTTCTAAATCCTGTCCAGGTGTGCACTTAATCACAGGACTGCATAATTACAGTGCTGAGGGATCTTCTCAAAGCTGGAAAATGAGGTTAGTTTTTCTGCCAAATTCTGAGTACCTCTGACATGCCCAGCTTGTACAGGGCTGGATAGAAATGGAGAATCAACTCTTCTTCTGAGTTCCAGGGGGAAAAATAAAGGGTTTTATTAGAGTCAGCATTATGGGAAGGTGTTGAACATATGTGGTCTCTCAGGTTTAGGAGATAATTCCTTTGACATGACCTATGTTGTGTTGCTTTGGTTTTGCATTGGGTTTGGTGTTTTAAGGAACTGAAATCTCTAGGTGATTCCCTGTGTCTTGTCACATTGTTTCTTCACTTGTAGAGGCAACTTTACTTTGCAATCATCCATGAAGGATTCTGCAGCCTTGCAACAACTTTTTAAAGGAGGACTTGTGCACTCTACCACTTTGTCTATGTTGGGAGTTGACCAATGTGGAGCTCAAAATAAACTCCTCTGCACTGCCACACTAGTTAACATCAAAGCTCCTTTCAGCCCAACATCTTGCCACAGATACTAAATATTAAGGCACTTTAATGAGATGAGAAAATCCTGTTAGCAGTTTAAACATCTACTGCATTTGCTAGTTAGTTAATGGGTTTAATGCTGTAAGATTATTGCTTGGTCAAGAAGTCTAAAAGACAAAGTGCAGGGTGGAGTGGAGGATGAGATGCATCAGTAACTCTTTCAGGTGAGAATTTTCAGGCCAGATCATAGAACCAGAGAATTTTAGGGGTTGGAATGGAGCTTAGAGATCCTCCAGCCCCAACCCCTGCCCTGGGCAGGGACACCTCCCACCACAGCAGGTTGCTCAAGGCTCAGCCAACCTGGCTGTGAACACTGCCAGGGTTGGGGCAACCACAGCCTCCCTGGGCAACCTGGGACAGGGTCTCACCACCCTCACAGGGAAAACTTCTGCCTAACATCTAACCTAAATTTCCCTCCTTCAATTTGTGCCCATTGCCCCTTGTCCTGTCCCTGCAGTTCCTAACACAGATCCCTCTGCAGCTTCCCTGGAGCCCCTTCAGCTCCTGGAAGGTGCTCTGAGGTCTCCACACAACCTTCTCTTCTCCAGCCTCAACAGCTCCAACTCCCTCAGCCTGTCCTCACAGGGGAGATGCTCCAGTGCTCTTAGCAACTTGGTGACCTCCTCTGGACTTGCTCCAACAGTTCCATGTCCTTCTCACATTGAGGCACCAGAACTGTGTGCAGTATTCCGGGTGGGTCTCACCAGAGCAGAGCAGAGGGGCAGAATCACCTCCCTTGACCTGCTGCCCACACTGCTGTGCATGCAGCCCAGGCCTGGGTTGGTTTCTGGGCTGAGCTCACACTGCAGCTCATGGGGAGCTTCTCACCCACCATCACCCCCGGGATAGTTTACACAAGCTTAATTCTGACTCAAAGCATATGCACCTTCAAATATGAATGTGGACACATCTACATATTTGTAACAAGTATAAAAGCTCTAAGAGGTAACAGGCCAACTGACTTGTCCAAGTTCACATGTGGAACAAAGCTACAGAATTCTGTATTAGAGACAGATGTCAAGTTTCATGTCCTCATATGACCCACAAAACTATCATTCCAGCACAACGGAATATGAATAAGATGAAGATTTATGTTTCACATCCCAACTTATTGATCTCCTTGCTTGCTACTCACCAGCTGAGGGATCTAAACCATGGTAGATCATACGAGTGGTAGACTCTGTAGCCAATGGTAATGATTTCATGGTAACACTTCACTTGGATGCTTAGGACCTAAAATAAGAGAAATAAAAAGCTATGTAAATGTGCTGCAGTTGTTGCTTCCAGGCAGTAAGTAGCACTGCAACCTGCATTAAGGGGACATGTTATTCTGAATGCAAATTCCACTCAAAAAACAGCTTCAAAGCAAATCCAAGGAAAACTAAAGCTCCATTTAAAACTGAAACAAATAAAATCTCCAAACCACTCTCCGTGAAGAGAAACAAACCACATTGGACTAGCTGCAAGAATGTACTTGTGAAACAAAGGAAGACTCTTGACACTGGAAGGAAGGTTCTTGACACTGACTCTCGGTGAGACCCTGTGCCAGGTTGCCCAGGGAGGCTGTGGCTGCCCCAACCCTGGCAGTGTTCACAGCCAGGTTGGCTGAGCCTTGAGCAGCCTGCTCTGGTGGGAGGTGTCCCTGCCCAGGGCAAGGGTTGGGGCTGGGTGATCTCTAAGCTCCATTCCAACCCCTAAAATTCTATGATCATATGATTCTGTGACTTTTCTGCATTAAAACAGTCTGACAGCAGCAGGTCAGCAGTGCCTCCTGTAAAGAAGGTTCTCCTGTGTCTTTTGGCTCAGTTTTATCTTTATGTTTGATTTGGGAAATATTTTCTAGACCCAATGGAAAAAACTGGCTGTGCAACACAGCTTGGACACTCAGGTCTTGCACTTGCAAGCATCTCATTAAAGGCAATTAGCATTGATGATTAGAGGCCAAGCTCATCTCACCCAGGTCTGAATGTCACACCCTCATCTTGTTTGCTGATCTCACTCCTTCAGTGCTTGCCTGTCTGGCAATACACCTTGTCATGTCTTTGGCCTTCACAGGCCTCTCCAGCTGCGCCAACCCACAGTCACCCAGCAGATCACCCTACCCACACGTGGTGTTGCCAAAGCCATGGGTGATCCCGTGCAGGGCAGGAGTGAGGCCCTGCCCACGCTGTTGGCTCGTGGCAGCATGCAAAGCTTGGCAGTGTTCTTTTCCTTTCTGCATTCATGCATAAATTGCAGCTTGCTCAATGTGTGACCACAGGTTAAAACAGGCTCACACCACCTCGGCAAGTTCATTTCGAAGCTCCTCTATCTTGTGCTCTTTCTTCTGCTTGGCCTAAGTTCTAAAATTCAATGTTCTATGCAAGAGCAACATGAAAGGTTTGCACCTTGAAGTGCGAAAGGGCATGGGAGGCCAAAGGCAAAGAAGTTTGTGCCTGTTGCCTGAGCAGCAGGCAAATCTAACACACATCTGCCAACTTTTTAGAGCAGTCTCAGGGCCTGTCCTGCAAACCTCACTGGATTACTCTTCCTTTTGCACAGAAGAATGTATTTAAACTTACCAAAAGCATAAGCATAAATGATCCCAGGTATATGATCAGAAAAAACCCAGAAATCATAGCTAGACTGAGAATTCCACGAATCCACCAATTTTTCCATCTATTAAAAAAAGAAAAAAAAAAGAAAAAAGATTTAAAAAAGCAAGCAGTTGTAAATGAAAATAAATGCCACTTCCTTTGCTAACTAGAGATTAAAGTGTACTAGAAACAGTGGGAGTTGCAGAAATTTTCGTGTCCAATCAAACACATAGCAAGAAACACAGAGTCAACCAACTATCCAATCAAACACGATACACAGTAAAAGAAATTAAAGTTGGCCACCTTCCTCCTTCCCCCGTGCTGCCTGCACCCTGCCAAATGTCACCTGGAATTCAGTGGCTCAACCCCATACTGAAGCTGCTGGGAAAATGCATCAGGACCCTCAAAAATACATCCTGTAATCAGCACAACTGATGAGGGCCCGGCCATGCAAAGCTTGTGGATGAAAGAAAAGGTGTCAGGTAAAAAGTATGTGATTCTTTGACTAACAGACACATAAAAACCCCAGACAGGTGATCACCAATTTTCCATAGTGGCAAAGCAGCTATTTTGCCAGGTAGCGGGTGATCTATTGAGAACTGCCCCGTGCTCTTGTGAGTCCTGGAACCAGGGCAGGAGAATATGTGACAATGGGGGAGATGGATCAAACTAGTTCTACTGTTTTGCCCTTGTAGACCTTTGCAGCTGTTTGTGGCTAACTAGGAAAAACATAATAATTTCTGTTATCATAGAATCATTTAGGCTGGAAAACACTTCCCAGATCATCAAGTCCAACCACCAACCCAGCACTGCTGAGTCCACCACTAAACCATGTCCTCAGGTGCCACATCTACATATCTTTTAAGTACCTCCAGGGATGGTGATTCCATCACTTCCTTGGACAGCTTATTCCAATGCTTAGAAACCTTTTCCCCAGAGAAAAGTTTCCTAATATCCAGCTTGGGTTAGTTTCTGGGCTAAGCTCACACTGCAGCTCATGGGGAGTTCCTCATCCATCATCACCCCCAAGTCTTTCTCCTCATTGCTGCTCTCAATGACTTCCCCACCCAACCTGTATGTGTACCCACCCCCTCTCCTAAGCTTGGATGTAGGAAATCAGTTTATTATAACCCCCAGGATTAGTTATTCTCTAATTCAAACCCAATGACTCTTCCTTAGCCCATTTTATTGCAATGCTCAGACTGAACAATGGCAAATGTTTATGTGAACTGTGTTTATACATGCAATGGGCAATCCACAAGCATATGCAAAAAAAATATTACACTGAAGGGGCTACCAAAGCATAAATAAATAAATAACACCCAGTAAAAATTGATCCTTGAATTGTCATGTCTATCTCATGAAATTTCAACCTGCAGCACCATTTATAAGGATTAAAACTACAACAGACTCTGTAGGAATTTCAGCCACCAGCTATTCCTTTTGAGAGCTGTTTGTTTTACTATACCTGGCAGACAAGCCTGATAAAGGCTTCTTGAGGATTTCTGGAGTGCTGTCTGTTGGTGGAGGAACATCAGGAACATCTGAATCACTTCTAAGATCCAATTCGCAAAGTCTTTCATCCAAATCCCCTTCCTAACACAAATAAATAAAGCAAATAATCATTAGCTATTGTGTCAGAAAACAGTATTCAGAGTCATAAATGTTACTTTAGGAACTGATGATCACAGAATCACAGAACTTTAGGGGTTGGAATGGAGCTTAGAGACCATCCAGCCCCAAGCCCTGCCCTGGGCAGGGACACCTCCCACCACAGCAGGTTGCTCAAGGCTCAGCCAACCTGGCTGTGAACACTGCCAGGGTTGGGGCAGCCACAGCCTCCCTGGGCAAAAAAAAAAAAAAAAATTAGCATCTTCATCACCTTCTAAAAGGCACCACTAGTGTACTAGTGAAACTGTAGATGTTGTAGGAGACAAATGTATGCCACTCAATGTTTCTGAGGTCAGTATTCCAATGTTGAGATATTACCTGCTGTGCTCAAGAAGCTTCACATTCTAGGCACCACTTTTTTCAAGGATATATGCTTCCAGGAATACTACAGCTGACACAGAGCATGTGAGCTTAACAGAAATCCCTAACACATTCCCTCACCTCTATCTCAAACTAACCTTTAATAGAATCAGTAGAAGAATCTTCTGGTGGTTTATTTGCACAATGAGAAAAGGTTGCTGGCACAGTTTCTACCGTGCCAGGACTTGAACCCTCTGGCTTGAAAAGAACAATCCAAAACCAAGCTGTGAAGTGGCCAAGTGTCCCATGGCTTAACAGAAATCCCTAACACATTCCCTCACCTCTATCTCAAACTAACCTTTAATAGAATCAGTAGAAGAATCTTCTGGTGGTTTATTTGCACAATGAGAAAAGGTTGCTGGCACAGTTTCTACCGTGCCAGGACTTGAACCCTCTGGCTTGAAAAGAACAATCCAAAACCAAGCTGTGAAGTGGCCAAGTGTCCCATGAACATAGTATTGAATAACTTCCTACGACTGCAAGACTGTAGTTGTTTCATCAGTACTCACCAGTGACTGCTCAGGAATACATCATCTAGACAGACTGTGTGTCTAACCCCAGTGCAAAACGGGCAGCACATATTTAGGTGACAATGCACAAATTGTCACCAGTGCTCAGAGCAGACTGTCAGCTCCCTCAGTTAAAGCAAACATGGCAAACACCACAGCTCCAGGGAGCTGAAGAGCTGCTCTCAGCCCTGGCACAGCAGCAGTGCAGAGAGCAGTGTCTAGCTCAGTGTCTAGCTCTCCTGAGACCTGAACTTCCTCCTGACCTCCCTGTCTTGCTTCACCTTCTTATAATCCCAAACAACTTCCAGCCTGCCCTGCTGCCTCAGGTTCATGGCTTCTTAACCGTTAAGTAACTCTGCTTGAAAACTTTCTTCTGTACAGATATATATATATCTGCTGGATACTGGCCCAGGTTGCCCAGGGAGGCTGGGGCTGCCCCAACCCTGGCAGTGTTCACAGCCAGGTTGGCTGAGCCTTGAGCAACCTGCTCTGGTGGGAGGTGTCCCTGCCCAGGGCAGGGGTTGGGGCTGGGTGATCTCCAAGCTCCATTCCAACCCCTAAATTTCTATGATTCTATATGTCTTTCTCCATCTCTCTCTCTTTCCAACTTCCTCATCTCAGTTTTCTCCTTAATCTGTTTACACAAATGAGAAACTTCTCCCTTTCTTTCCTACTTAACAACATTATTTTCCTTCCTTGTTTTGAGCATTTTGGTCACTTTGGCAGACAGCAGAGGAATATCCTCCCTCTCCATGCCTCGATGAGACACCACAGGATGAAGGTGCCTACAACTGCAGCCGCTGACTGTGTGCTTACCCAGTTTGTAGGCCAGGGCCTCTTCCAGGCAGCTACACTTCAGTGTAACCTCTGTGTCAGTGACTGCCCTCTGCAAACAATGCCGGGAGAAGATAAGGCTAGGCCAAGCCAAGGGCTGCCCAAAGCCAAGGGTCTGGGCAGGGGTGGCCGTGGAGGGGCCAAGGGGAGGGAGCTAACCATGGTGCTGCAGGAGGCCCCAACCTCAGACCCTTCCCCAGGCTCTGATCCCAGGAAAAACTTCCTTTCCACTATAAAAGTGGCTTCATCCTTTTAGAATCTGAGACAGTGAGATGGCACTAGACACAAACACACAGAAACTAGTGACAACAGGAACATTAAGCTTGAGTTTTTCTCATTCGCTTCATGTACCACACACACACATCCGAGAAGAAATTCATTTTACACCATTTACTTCTATCAAAAACATGATCAGTGCTTCCCTGTTCCTTGAAACCTCACAGCTGAATAATTATTAGACACTGTCTATAAGTAATACAAGTAAAAAGAACAAATAAGCTGTGCTCCAGACTTCAGGAATTCTGCACAACACCTGGAAAACCACACAAATAAATAATTATTGTGCCTGCAATCTTGTTATCCAGAGATGTTTCTCACAGTGTTGTACCATAGCTCAGGAAATCAACTCTAGATGTGACTGAGGGGATTGCAGCCCTCTCCCAAAGCCACGTTCCAGCTCCTGTGACCTGCACCAGAGTGCAGCAAACTGCTGTAGAGTCCTAGGAGACACCACTCGCTGCACAGATGATGGGCACTAATCCTGGAGCTAAGACCATGACTTAGCATCTTTAATATTAATCCCTGCTTGCAGAAGGCAGAGATGATCTCTCTTTTAAGCACTTAGAACTAAGAATACCCCCAGACTTTTTTTTCTTGTTCCATTTTGGTATTGCAGAAAATATTTCCATACTCAACTGGTGTTTAAGCAATTTAAATAAAGAAAAAAATCATACCTAGTTTTATCCCTCTGATCTTTAATACACAACTGTCACTTAGGCACCTTATTATAAGTTGCATAGAACTTGGTGCATTTTATAGCCTTAAGTTGCTACAGTGACCTGTGGGAATCAACACCTCAACTATCTTTAACTTCCCTTTGTAACATACCTGAAAAATTACCTTGGATATTTTATTTTCCAGTTAATTGCTATCACAGCCACAAGAATTTTCTGAATAAGGCATTTAATTAGTAAAGTCAGAAGGCAAAGAGGAAGTTGCTCACTAAGGCTAGTTAATTGCCTTCTGCATCACTAAGTGCTTGGAGAACTCCATCACTGGGGGATAGGACTTTATTGCTGATCGTTTTCTAAATTATTTTACAGGACTGAAAATAAACATTCCAGTTTATAGCCACAAATAACAACAATCATTATGGAAGGAAACACTAAGTTGATCACTACCAAAGAACTCAAAAAAAATTCAAGAGCCTTGGTCCTGCAGCTTGACCTTGTAGAAGCAGTTTTGGAGTTCAGCACGAACCCACAGAGCCTTTCCTTCTCCTGCTCTTCAGGTTTGAGATATGGCCAACCTGAATACACAGGAACATCAGGGACCTGCCATGGGTTTCATACTGTGAAAGATCCATGGGAAATACCATGGGTTTCACACTGTGAGCAGGAATTCACAAGGTTTCCAGAGGTTCACTGAAAACAGCCGAAGTTGCACCGTCCCAAGTGACTAGGACACCTTCCAACCCTGACTCCAAATAAACATTTTATCCAAGGTGTTTTAATTTTTTCCTAGAGTTCTCAACTTGCAGGTGACAGAGCCTTTTATCTGCAGGAAGTGTGCCACTCCTGTCTGCTTGATTCACACCCAGAGTGTCTGTAATGGACAGGTGTTGCAATGGGGTCATTGTCTTGACAGTCTACATGTGAAGGCACATGTTCCTTCAAGAGAACCTATTAGATCAGCTCAGATAACGCAAGTCCAACAAGGCTGAGATGATGCAGGCCCAACAAGTACAGGGAAGGAGGCCAACACAACAGTTATTCACACACTGCAAACAGCTCAGTACGTGACAAACACCTGACAGGCTAAAACCCTCACCAGTTTCCATCACTTCCAAAGTACCCCAAGACAAAGCTTATTTAGTTGTAAGGCTTTGTTTTGATTTAGTTTTGATTTTCTTAAAAGACAAGACTTTCATCCTTAAGCTAAACCTTCTGTACAAGACCACAAATACTTGGCCACACAAAGGAGGAACTCAACCAGTCAAGAGTCTGAGCCTCCATAACAGAAATCCAAAACATGTGACATCTTGCCATAAATTAAGCTTCCATGTGGATTTCTGCTTGCTGGCTGTTTCCTAACAGCTCACAAAATACAGCTGTGTGTCATGCAGAAAAAAATAGACATGTCAACCTTTCATCATCTAAAGGACACGCACTTCTGACTTGCTGTTTTGTACCACATACACTTCACTACAATTAACACGTGCCAAGAGAACCACACACCAGGATTCCTCCAGTCACAAAGGCACTTGCAATGCTTTGCTTGTACTGCATCTTTTTTCAGGGCATAATAAGGAACTCCCAAGTAGATATCAAGTATGTTTTTCATGGAGAATGCAGCATTTCCATGAAGAGTAGCTGAGAAAATGAAGACATTGTCCAACAACTTAGGAGAAAAAGTTAGCAAGCAAAAGACTTCAGTTACTGTCATTTTGTAAGTCTGTGTGTTACCTGAAGTAAGTTATCTCCTCCATCTTTGACCTTTCTGCAGTGTCTCTCACAAGTTTTACAGTGAAGGCAATAGTTCAGTCAGAACACATTGTAGTGCATTTAATTGGATGCACCTTGATACCTTCCTCTGAAGTTGAGATATCAAAGTAACAGAAGATACTGAATAATAACATACAGAAACACAAATGAGACACCTACACACACTGAATCAAAGACTGAAACCTGAGGTTTGCATTGTTCCACCTCTCCAGCCTGCCAAGGCCCCTCTGGATGTGCCATCCCTTCCCTCCAGCTGTGACTGCCCCACACACTTGGTGTGCTCAGAGAACTTGCTGAGGGAGCACTGATCCCACTGTCCATGTCACCACAAAGATGTTGAACAGTATCAGCCCCAGCATTGACCCCTAAGGGACACCACTGACCCCTGAGGGACACCGCTCCTCACTGGCCTCACATGGACACTGAGCCACTGACTACAACTCTCTGTGTGACCATCCAGCAGTTCTTCATCCACCACGTGTCCACCCATCAAATCCAT